AATGTCATCCGAACACAGGCTCATGACTGCGTTAACGACGAGGATTTAATGAGTTCTGTTGGTTGCAGGACTGACTATTCTCCCGAGTTCTTCTCTCTCTTGCACAAGGCACGGGCCAGACACCATTTAGACATCTTGGAGTTTATCGTTATTAATATCCAACGTCCTTAACTGCGCAGACAAAGAGAGTTAAAGCATGTTGGTCTTATTCGGGGATTCAAGTCGTTAAATTCTATGCCTAACTTGGAGGATGCTTTTCCCCTCCCCTAGTCTCGGTAATTTACATTTTCTTAACATCAGTTATTGATAATAATTTTTCTTGTCAATTACTTTGTTGTATTTTGACGACGATTATATATATTCAGAAGTATCGGCCAAAAGGTACATAAAATTTTAAACACTGTGGTACTTTTTTTGTATCCTATTTTGATCCCTTTTCTTAAGATAATTTTATCCTGATGTGGCAACAATAATCTGCTATATATATATATATATATATATATATATATATATATATATATATATATATATATATATCACATATAACATATTGAGTGCTGGTGTTAAGGAAATGGGGTGATTTTATGTTTTTATTATTTTACATTTAATATTTTTTCGAACCCAGCTCTCAAATAATATGGAATGTTCCATTATCATTATATCCGTATATATATATATATATATATATATATATATATATATATATATATATATATATATATATATATCAATTTTAATTATGCAAATCAGTATCTGAAGATTGCGTAATACATGAAACACAGTCTTGTTCAAACGGCAGGGTTAGGAATACTCACACAAACTCCAAACACACACACACACACACACACACACATATATATATATATATATATATAATATTTTCTTTTTTACGCATGTGTGTATATATATATATATATATATATATATATATATATATATATATATATATATATATATATACATATTCTTCCTCTATGCTGGTCATTGAGTTCTACCTGGATTCTATCCTCTTGTAAATGTTTACATATATTTGTATGTGTATGTATATATATATATATATATATATATATATATATATATATATAAACCACTAATATTATCTATCTATCTATCTTTCACTCTCTCTCTCTATATATATATATATATATATATATATATATATATATATATATATATACTTTCTTTTTGCGTTGGTGTTTATATACATATATATATATATGCATACACACACACACACACACACACACATATATATATATATACATACACACACACACAAAAGGAAAGTGACGATGTTAGGCATAGTTACTTTATTTTATGGCATATCAGTTCTTGTTGATATTTCCTATCGAATATTGTATGGAGTACTTAGTGTGGAGAGGATTCACTACTCAGTAACAATGGGTAACCAAAAGACCCACATTATTATCTCCTGATGGAAAGGTTAGATGTGTTTATTTTATAACATGTCAAACCCTGTTGTTTTATTTAAATTTTGTATGGGTCACTTAGTGAGGAAGGGATTCATTTCTCATTAGTAATGGTCAGTCAAACTAGCCTCGTTAACCATTACCCCGTGTCGAGACACTTGAATAAAACCGAGGACAGAATAGATGGACTAAAAGGGCCAGAGTATAAATGCGATAGGAAGAGAAATAGAGAAATAATATGAGAGTATGGGGAGCTAAAATGAAAAGGTGAGAGAGAGATTAAGAAAGAGAGAGGGAGAAAGAGAAGAGTGAAAAATAAATAAACGAAGTAGAAAACTCTCGGTTGAGGTGTTGAAAATATAAATGAGTAAGAGGGAGAGGGAGAGAAAAATATGAGAGTATGAAAGAGTGAGTATCTAAGATATAAATGCATGAGAAAGAGATGTTAAAGAAGAAGAAGCTATGTGAGAGAGGGAAAGAGTAAGAAAGAGACTATGGGAGAGACAGAAAGAAAACGAGAGCATGAGAAAATGAGCAAAAGAAAAGAAAAGAGACGGTCGGGAGGTAAAATGCAAATACTTAAAAAAAGATTAAGAAAGAGGGCGAGAGAGGATGAAAGAGAAGGGAAGAGTGAAAGAAAGAGAGAGAAAGAAAGAGAGAAAGAAAATACGATAACGATAAGAAAGAGAGAATAAGAGAGAGTGACTGAGTTAAGTGGGGGAATATAAAACCGTATAAGAAATAGAGAGGGAGTGAAAGACAAAGAAAGACAGTGCGAGAGAGTGAGAAGGAGGAAGTGAATAAAAGAAAGAGAGAAGCAAAAATACAAATGAGTAAGGATAATAAAGAGAGAATAAGAGAGGGTGACTAAGGTGGGGGAACATAAAAGTATCAGAAATAGAGAGAAAGTGAAAGAGAAAGAACGAAAGAAAGAAAGAAAGAAAGAGAGAAGGAAGGTGTAAAAGAAGGAGAGAGAGGAGGAGGGAGTAAAAGAAAAAAGAGGAAGGAAGAAGCAAAAATACAAATAAATTAGGATAAGAAAGAGAATAAGAGAAAGTGACTGAGTAAGGGCGGAATATATAAAACAATGTAAGAAATAGAGAGAGAGAGAGAGAGAGAGAGAGAGAGAGTAGTGTGCGGGTGTATAAGCGGAGAGAGAGAGAGAGTGTGTGTCTAAATATGATGTTATATGGAGGGAGCAGGGAAAAACTGACCGAGAAATAAGATTGAGAAAAAAAAAGGCAAGAGAGATGGTGAAACAAGGAAAGACAGAAAGATAAATCGATAAGGAAAACGAAAAAGGTTGTGAACGAACACGCACGCGCGCACGCCCAATCATATACGGGCACATACGCATGCGCGCACGCATACACGCTTATGCCGACGCATGCGCGCAAGCATCCTCATAAATACAGATGGGTAGGAAATGAAAGAGATTAAAATAAAAGCTAGATAGATAGAATAAAATTAAATGAAATTAGATACAAACACACACACATACACAGGGAGAGAGAGAGAGAGAGAGAGAGAGAGAAAACAAAGGAAGGAAAAGAAAGGCAACCATATTTCTCTCTCTCTCTCTCTCTCTCTCTCTCTCTCTCTCTCTCTCTCTCCATATATATATATATATATATATCTTAATCTGATGATTCTGTGGTATTCCGATCCATATTTGATCTATATTTGATCCCAACACACACACACACACACACACACACAGGCACAGGCACACACACACACACACACACACACACACATATATATATATATATATAGGAGTGCTACTAATACCTGATATAGTGGGACGCATCAGAATGCCTAAAAACAAAATCATTTAACAGACCAATTAGAAAATTAGTAAATAATGAAAACTAATCATGGTATAAATTAATAGAATATCAAACTAGAATAACTAAACTTTATGCTCTAGTTAAAACTCATATATATATATATATATATATATATATATATATATATATATATATATAATGGACAGATTGAGACCAATTGATAGATAGTTAGATTTGAGAAAGCATAATAGATTTGAACAGATATATATATAGACAAATATGAATTGACTAATACACACACACACACACACACACATATATATATATATATATATATATATATATATATATATATATATATATAGATAGATAGATAGATAAAGAGAGACGCTGCAACCTTGATAAATAAATATAAAGAAATACGTATATCAGAATAGATATATGTAGTTTTAAAACGGCAAGAAAAATATTCTTTATATACAAAGATAAAGCACACATGTGCGAACACAAACATTTAACATTCACAAACTTTTAAGGAATCATCAGGGTTTCGTTTTATATCTACAAACATTCTAGCGTATATATTGTGTTCCTTCATCCAGAAATACAGCAAATTTTCAACAACATATATATATATATATATATATATATATATATATATATATATAATTATATATATTATAATTATTTGCAACAAAAAGCAAAGGATAAAGATTTTTTTTAGCTTAAAACAGAACGAAAACACAAATGTTAGATATGGAGTTCAAACTAAGAAAAGTTAATTTTTAATATGTTAGTTATTTTTTTCATAGTAGATCAATAATTTTCTGTTTTTTAGTGGGGCACCATATATATATGGCCATAAGAATAAGATGCATATAGATTGTGCGATCGAGTATTTTCTCAAGTAATTATATATATATATATATATACACACACACATATATACATACATAAATACATACATACATATATATATATATATATATATATATATTCACTTCAGTTCATTTCAATAAATACACATACTTATATATTGTTATATACAATAATATGCCGAAAAACTTCTCAGCCCAACCCTATCTCAAAATCTGACTAAACCTATATATATATATATATATATATATATATATATATATATATATATATAAATATAATAAAAATAAATAATTCCGACACTTGAAAATTGCTTTGGGCATGAAACTCCTAATTGTGTAATTAATGTAAGATATGTATATTGCTTTATATATGTTAAATAGCTGTGTTACTTTACATCATTGAGCACTTTTTTTTTTCCACTATAGAGTATTTATATGTTTTTGAATACGATCGCTCGCTCGCTCGTATACCTACGTATATTCACCCATTCGTTTATATATATATATATATATATATATATATATATATATATATATATATATATAACAGGCTTAGAGAGAATGGGAAAGAAAGAGCGCGAAAAGAAAGACGTGAAAAGAGAAAAAAAATGAAAACTTGAATCGAGGCAGATTTGATTGTATGATCGTCTATTTTCATACACACGCACTTACACATGCCCGCGTGTTTTAAGTGTGTGCATTGTGAGAAAGAGAGTGAAAGTGAGAAAGAGAGAGAGAGAGAGACAATGTGTGCGTGTGAGCGTGTCTACGTGCGCACAGATGGATTTTGCATAAATTAACCCAGAAACCAGTTTCCTCGTCTTTCACGAAACAAGGGATCGATCCTGCTTTTCTGGCAATATTTTCCACTTTGCTTCATCGACCCACGATTCCTTCTCGGCATGTATACGCTTGTTGCAGCCCCTACTCAAGGACCCTTAGCATTCGTTCAGTTGTCTGCGATTTGATGAAGACAAGCGCGTACTTGTTTGCCATGAAACCTGTCTACTTTCTCTTTCTTTCTTTCTTTCTTTCTATCTTTCTTTCTTTCTTTCTTTCTTTCTTTCTTTCTTTCATATCTTTCTTTCTTTTTAATGTAAAAGATCCTACCGTTACCTTTCTGTTCTTTCTTTCTTTCTTTCTTTCTTTCTTTCTTTCTTTCTTTCTTTCATATCTTTCTTTCTTTTTAATGTAAAAGTTCCTACCGTTACCTTTCTGCTCTTTCCATTTTCTTCCTTTCTTTCTTTCTTTCTTTTTTCTTTCTTTCTTTCTTTCTTTCTTTCTTTCTTTCTTTCTTCCTTTCTCTCTTTCTTTCTTTTTTTCTTGATTCTTATTTTTCTCTCGTTCTTTACTCGTTAACAGATAATTTCTTTACTTTTCCCTCTCCACGTTTTCTTTCGTTTTTTTTCTTTTCTTATCCTTTTTCTCTCTGTTTTTCATTTCATTATTTATTTCTCTCATTTTTATTCAAAATATCCTTTCTTCGTCTTTTTGCTTTTTCTTTTTTTTCTTCTTAAATGTTTTTCCTTTACTGTTTTTTTCTCTTTCATTTCTTTGTTTGATTTTATTATTTCGCCCACTTTTTCACTCTTTAACAGATTATTTCTTTGTCTTTCGCCCTCGTTTTTTCTTTTTCATTTCTTTCTCTAATTTCTTTCTGCTCTTCCTGCTTTCTTTCTTTCTTTTCTTATATTCATGCAAAAGAGACTACCTTTCTTTCTTTCTCTCTTTACTCTCTTTCATTTCTTTCTTTTCAAATTTTTATGCAAAAGATTCTACCTCTACCTTTCTGCTCTTTCTTTATTCTTTCTTTCTTTCCTTCTCCTTTCTCTCTCTTTTTCTCTCTTTCATTTATTTCTTTTTCTCATTTTATGCCTTTCTGCTCTTTCCATTTTCTTTCTTTCTTTCTTTCATTTCTCATTTTTATGCAAAAAATTCTACCTTTGCCTTTCTACTCTTTCTTTCTTTTTCACTCTTTCATATCTTTCTTTCTTTTTAATGTAACAGATCCTACCGTTACCTTTCTGTTCTTTCCATTTTCTTTCTTTCTTTCTTTCTTTCTTTCTTTCTTTCTTTCTTTCTTTCCCCGCTTTTGGCTTTGCTTTTTCCCGCTCTTTCTTTCTTTCTTTCTTTTTCACTCTTTCTTTCTTTTTCACTCTTTCATATCTTTCTTTCTTTTTAATGTAAAAGTTCCTACCGTTACCTTTCTGTTCTTTCCATTTTCTTTCTTTCTTTCTTTCTTTCTTTCTTTCTTTCTTTCTTTAATCTATTTTCTCATTTCCCTCTTTCATTTCTTTCTTTTTCTCATTTTTATATAA